AATAGAATACGACGTTTCGGTTGCAACCCAAGCAACCATCATCAAAGAGTCGCTGAGCAGGGGCTCAAATGCACAGAAGGGCGAGCGGGCAGCACCACGCATCTCTGCTGACGGTGTTGACGGATGAGCGTGAGTGGAGCGTGAACGGAGCGATGTGAATCGACGAGTGTGGGGGCAGAGCGCGTGGGAGGGAGCCCCAAAGTGGAGCAGCGCTAGGGAAGCAGAACGAGAAGCGTCGTGGCGGACGGGTGAGTGGATAGGTGAGTGGATAGGTGAGTGAGTGGATAGGTGAGTGAGTGGATAGGTGAGTAGATAGGTGAGTGAGTAGATAGGTGAGTGAGTGGATAGGTGAGTGGATAGGTGAGTGAGTGGATAGGTGAGTGAGTGGATAGGTGAGTGGATAGGTGAGTGAGTAGATAGGTGAGTGAGTAGATAGGTGAGTGAGTGGATAGGTGAGTAGATAGGTGAGTGAGTAGATAGGTGAGTGAGTGGATAGGTGAGTGGATAGGTGAGTCAGTGGATAGGTGAGTGAGTGTATAGGTGAGTGGATAGGTGAGTGGATAGGTGAGTGAGCGGATAGGTGAGTGAGTGGATAGGTGAGTGGATAGGTGAGTGAGTGGATAGGTGAGTGTATGGGTGAGTGAGTGGATAGGTGAGTGAGTAGATAGGTGAGTGAGTAGATAGGTGAGTGAGTGGATAGGTGAGTGGATAGGTGAGTGAGTAGATAGGTGAGTGAGTGGATAGGTGAGTGAATAGGTGAGTCAGTGGATAGGTGAGTGAGTGGATAGGTGAGTGGATAGGTGAGTGAGCGGATAGGTGAGTGAGCGGATAGGTGAGTGGATAGGTGAGTGAGTAGATAGGTGAGTGAGTAGATAGGTGAGTGAGTAGATAGGTGAGTGAGTGGATAGGTGAGTGGATAGGTGAGTGAGTAGATAGGTGAGTGAGTAGATAGGTGAGTGAGTAGATAGGTGAGTGAGTGGATAGGTGAGTAGATAGGTGAGTGAGTAGATAGGTGAGTGAGTGGATAGGTGAGTGGATAGGTGAGTCAGTGGATAGGTGAGTGAGTGTATAGGTGAGTGGATAGGTGAGTGGATAGGTGAGTGAGCGGATAGGTGAGTGAGTGGATAGGTGAGTGGATAGGTGAGTGAGTGGATAGGTGAGTGTATGGGTGAGTGAGTGGATAGGTGAGTGAGTAGATAGGTGAGTGAGTAGATAGGTGAGTGAGTGGATAGGTGAGTGGATAGGTGAGTGAGTAGATAGGTGAGTGAGTGGATAGGTGAGTGAATAGGTGAGTCAGTGGATAGGTGAGTGAGTGGATAGGTGAGTGGATAGGTGAGTGAGCGGATAGGTGAGTGAGCGGATAGGTGAGTGGATAGGTGAGTGAGTGGATAGGTGAGTGGATAGGTGAGTGAGTGGATAGGTGAGTGAGTAGATAGGTGAGTGAGTAGATAGGTGAGTGAGTAGATAGGTGAGTGAGTGGATAGGTGAGTGAGTGGATAGGTGAGTAGATAGGTGAGTGAGTAGATAGGTGAGTGAGTGGATAGGTGAGTGGATAGGTGAGTCAGTGGATAGGTGAGTGAGTGTATAGGTGAGTGGATAGGTGAGTGGATAGGTGAGTGAGCGGATAGGTGAGTGAGTGGATAGGTGAGTGGATAGGTGAGTGAGTGGATAGGTGAGTGTATGGGTGAGTGAGTGGATAGGTGAGTGAGTAGATAGGTGAGTGAGTAGATAGGTGAGTGAGTGGATAGGTGAGTGGATAGGTGAGTGAGTAGATAGGTGAGTGAGTGGATAGGTGAGTGAATAGGTGAGTCAGTGGATAGGTGAGTGAGTGGATAGGTGAGTGGATAGGTGAGTGAGCGGATAGGTGAGTGAGCGGATAGGTGAGTGGATAGGTGAGTGAGTGGATAGGTGAGTGTATGGGTGAGTGAGTGGATAGGTGAGTGAGTAGATAGGTGAGTGAGTAGATAGGTGAGTGAGTGGATAGGTGAGTGGATAGGTGAGTGAGTGGATAGGTGAGTGTATGGGTGAGTGAGTGGATAGGTAAGTGAGTAGATAGGTGAGTGAGTAGATAGGTGAGTGAGTGGATAGGTGAGTGAGTGGATAGGTGAGTGGATAGGTGAGTGAGTAGATAGGTGAGTGAGTGGATAGGTGAGTGAATAGGTGAGTCAGTGGATAGGTGAGTGAGTGGATAGGTGAGTGGATAGGTGAGTGAGCGGATAGGTGAGTGAGCGGATAGGTGAGTGAGTGGATAGGTGAGTGGATAGGTGAGTGAGTGGATAGGTGAGTGTATGGGTGAGTGAGTGGATAGGTGAGTGAGTAGATAGGTGAGTGAGTAGATAGGTGAGTGAGTGGATAGGTGAGTGGATAGGTGAGTGAGTGGATAGGTGAGTGAGTGTATAGGTGAGTGAGTGGATAGGTGAGTCAGTGGATAGGTGAGTGAGTGGATAGGTGAGTGGATAGGTGAGTAGATAGGTGAGTGAGTAGATAGGTGAGTGAGTAGATAGGTGACTGAGTAGATAGGTGACTGAGTAGATAGGTGAGTGAGTATGGTGCAAGGCTACTGACGAGGTGCCGCGTAGGGGGAGGGGCTACTGACGAGGTCACGCGTAGGGTGAGTGACTACTGACGAGGTGACGTACATCGCCACCCTGCTGCTGGGCTGGGTCTCCGATTGAACACGTTTCAAAGTTATTTTTAAAATGGGAATCATCTTCATTATCATAATGCGAGACAAACATAAAGATCCCCCGTGTAGCCTTCACAGACTTTTGGGGCAAGTGCTGTTAGCGAGTAGCAGCGACACCTATGAGGGCTGGGACTGTGGCACACGAGGGGGTGGGTGGCCAGCCAACACCACGCCCGGCCGCCTTTGTCTCCCCAGTGGCGATGTCTTAACACCGCATTTCAGGCTAATAAGTTATCATCACTAGCAGCAGCATCGGCTTCATCAGCTTCATAGCCACGATCATCGTCGACTGTGTGAACTTTATTTGTTTGACCCACAGATGTCAACCAGTCATCATCGACCGAGATCAGTCCACTGCTGGATGAAGGCCTCCCCAAGCCGTCACTCACGATCCTGCGATGTAAATAATCCACCAACCACGCTGCTGCACGCGAGGCGATTCCATCGCTCCGTCTCTTAGCTGGACGCCCTCACCGTGTTCGCTGTGTCACACACACAAAGCTCTGCGTGGGCAGAAGTCGAATTCTCGAACACTCTCAGCATTCTCCACTCCCTGGGAAGCATGCTCGGGTTAGCGGCTTCCCAGGCACAACGGGGAGGTCTCACGGCACGAGGAACACCCCAAGGCAGCGGACGAGGGAGAGACCTGCAGGTCAATGCACCGCTCTGAGTGACTGGAGCCCCATCATGCAACCGACAAAGCCAGGATCTGTGATGTCCCCAGGTAGACTTAGCGATGTCCCAGGTGAGCTGCCTCGACAAGAGGACGATCCTGAAACAACGAGGGCAGTTGGCAGCCCCATGCAGGTAGCATCACAATAGCGGTAGGCCTGGCAGGGCACTATCCTGTAGAGTTACAGATGCGTGGTAGACAAACACTGACAATGTCATCATTATTCTTCTTCTTCTTGTTGCAGCGACTCAAGTCAATTCGACCGAGCCCCTTCGACCGAACGCCAACAACAGCCACACGTCGGAGCAGCCTCAAGCCCAGGAGGATTTCATTCACAGCACAAAAGCCTTGCGGCTGGTGGCATCTTCTGCAGTGAGCGGTGGGTGCAGTGGCAGGGGCTGTGGCGAGTGCCCATCGCAACCACTGCAGGGTCAATCGTCGTGACACGACATTGGCGTGGGGATAAGAAATCCGCGTGCTCACCAAAAATGCTTCCAGTCGGCCAGCCCAGAGCGGCTGTGTCACCGGTTGGCGCCGCCTGTGGATGACTGGCGGAGTGAGCAGGCACGGGATGGGAATGGTGAATTGTGCAGTGGACACTCTGTGGACACTCCGTGAGCAACGCCTTTGGCGATGTTCCACTCGACCGCGTGGCCCTGCTCCCCCTGTGGGTGTCAGACAGCAGCAGTAGCAGCAGTAGCAGCAGCAGTAGTCTCAGTAGCAGCAGCAGAAGCAGTAGTAGTATTAGCAGCAGTAGTATCAGTAGCAGCAGTAGCAGCAGCAGTAGTCTCAGTAGCAGCAGCAGAAGTAGTATTAGCAGCAGTAGTATCAGTAGCAGCAGCAGTAGTATTAGCAGCAGTAGTATCAGTAGCAGCAGCAGTAGTATTAGCAGCAGTAGTCTCAGTAGCAGCAGCAGTAGCAGTAGTATTAGCAGCAGTAGTATCAGTAGCAGTCGTGTAAAGGCTGTGTCAGCAAGTCTCAATGTGAAGACAGGGTGTCAGCGAGACTGGAGGATCTTGGGTCGGGAAATCCCCCCAGAGAATCTACGGGGATAAAAGCAGGCCAAGAAGGGGAGCTCGAGGCTGTCGAGAGGGTCTCGGTCCGTCGCCGCCGTCTGCTGGGTCATCCATCTCCACGTCGGCGTTATCTCGTGACGATGCGGTCCTAAGCCACGTCACGTGCAATACAATAAACATCTACAGCTCGAATCCGGAGTCGTTACAGTAGTAGCAGTAGTAGTATCAGTAGTAGTATCAGTAGTAGTAGTATCAGTAGTAGCAGTAGTAGTATCAGTAGTAGCAATAACAGCAGCAACAGTAGCAGCAGTAGTAGTATCAGTAGTAGTAGTATCAGTAGTAGCAGTAGTAGTATCAGTAGCAGCAATAACAGCAGCAACAGTAGTAGCAATAGTAGTAGCAGTAGTAGCAATAACAGCAGCAACAGTAGCAGCAGTAGTAGTATCAGTAGTAGCAATAACAGCAGTAGCAGCAGTAGTAGTATCAGTAGTAGCAATAACAGCAGCAACAGTAGCAGCAGTAGTAGTATCAGTAGTAGTATCAGTAGTAGCAATAACAGTAGCAACAGTAGCAGCAGCAGTAGTAGTAGCAGCGACACCTATGAAGGTTGGGACTGTGGTACCCAAGGTGGGAGGCCAGCACCACGTCCGGCCGCCTTTGTGTCCCCAGTGGCGATGTTTAAACACCGCTTTTGAGCCTGATAAGTTGTCATCACGAGCAGCATCGGCTTCATAAACTTCATAGCCACGATCATCATCGATTGTGTGAACTTTATTTGTTTGACCCACAGATGACAGCCGGTCATCATCGACCAAGATCAGTCCACTGCTGGATGAAGGCCTCCCCAAGCCGTCACTCACGATCCTGCGATGTAAATAATCCACCGAGCACGCTGCTGCACGCGAGGCGATTCCATCGCTCCGTCTCTTAGCTAGACGGCCTCACCGTGTTCGCTGTCACACACACAAAACTCTGTGTGGGCAGAAGTCGAATTCTCGAACACTCTCAGCATTCTCCATTGCCTGGGAAGCATGCTCGGGTTAGCGGCCTACCAGGCACAACGGGGAGGTCTCACGGCACGAGGAACACCCCACGGCAGCGGACGAGGGAGAGACCTGCAGGTCAATGTACCGCTCTGAGTGACCGCAGCCCCATCATGTAACCGACAAAGCCAGGATCTGTGATATCCCCAGGTAGACTTAGCGATGTCCCAGGTGGGCTGCCTCGACAAGAGGACGATCCTGAAACAACGAGGGCAGTTGTCAGCCCCATGTAGGTAGCATCGCAATAGCGGTAGGCCTGGCAGGGCACTATCCTGTAGAGTTACAGATGCGTGGTAGACAAACACAGACAATGTCATCATTATTCTTCTTCTTGTTGCAGCGACTCAAGTCAATTCGACCGAGCCCCTTCGACCGAACGCCAACAACAGCCACACGTCGGAGCAGCCTCAAGCCCAGGAGGATTTCATTCACAGCACAAAAGCCTTGCGGCTGGTGGCATCTTCTGCAGTGAGCGGTGGGTGCAGTGGCAGGGGCTGTGGCGAGTGCCCATCGCAACCACTGCAGGGTCAATCGTCGTGACACGACATTGGCGTGGGGATAAGAAATCCGCGTGCTCACCAAAAATGCTTCCAGTCGGCCAGCCCCGAGCGGCTGTGTCACCGGTTGGTGCCGCCTGTGGATGACTGGCGGAGTGAGCAGGCACGGGATGGGAATGGTGAATTGTGCAGTGGACACTCTGTGGACACTCCGTGAGCAACGCCTTTGGCGATGTTCCACTCGACCGCGTGGCCCTGCTCCCCCTGTGGGTGTCAGACAGCAGCAGTAGCAGCAGTAGCAGCAGCAGTAGTCTCAGTAGCAGCAGCAGAAGCAGTAGTAGTATTAGCAGCAGTAGTATCAGTAGCAGCAGTAGCAGCAGCAGTAGTCTCAGTAGCAGCAGCAGAAGTAGTATTAGCAGCAGTAGTATCAGTAGCAGCAGCAGTAGTATTAGCAGCAGTAGTATCAGTAGCAGCAGCAGTAGTATTAGCAGCAGTAGTCTCAGTAGCAGCAGCAGTAGCAGTAGTATTAGCAGCAGTAGTATCAGTAGCAGTCGTGTAAAGGCTGTGTCAGCAAGTCTCAATGTGAAGACAGGGTGTCAGCGAGGCCGGAGGATCTTGGGTCGGGAAATCCCACCAGAGAATCCACGAGGATAAAAGCAGGCCAAGAAGGGGAGCTCGAGGCTGTCGAGAGGGTCTCGGTCCGTCGCCGCCGTCTGCTGGGTCATCCATCTCCACGTCGGCGTTATCTCGTGACGATGCGGTCCTAAGCCACGTCACGTGCAATGCAATAAACATCGACAGCTCGAATCCGGAGTTGTTACAGTAGTAGCAGTAGTAGTATCAGTAGTAGTAGTATCAGTAGTAGTAGCAGTAGTAGTAGCAGTAGTAGTATCAGTAGTAGTATCATTAGTAGTAGTATCAGTAGTAGCAGTAGTAGTATCAGTAGTAGTATCAGTAGTAGCAATAACAGCAGCAACAGTAGCAGCAGCAGTAGTATCAGTAGTAGTATCAGTAGTAGTAGCAGTAGTATCAGTAGTAGTAGCAGTCGTAGCAATAACAGCAGCAACAGTAGCAGCAGTGTTAGTAGCAGCGACACCTATGAAGGCTGGGACTGTGGTACCCAAGGTGGGAGGCCAGCACCACGCCCGGCCGCCTTTGTGTCCCCAGTGGCGATGTTTAAACACCGCTTTTGAGCCTGATACGTTATCATCACGAGCAGCATCGGCTTCATAAACTTCATAGCCACGACCATCGTCGACTGTGTGAACTTTATTTGTTTGACCCACAGATGACAGCCGGTCATCATCGACCAAGATGAGTCCACTGCTGGACGAAGGCCTCCCCAAGCCGTCGGCATCACTCACGACCCTGCGATGTAAATAATCCACCGAGCACGCTGCTGCACGCGCGCCGATTCCATCGCTCCGTCTCCCGTCGCGTTCCCCTTTCTGCCTCTAGGATTTTCATTCTCAGCGCTCATCTCTCGGCCTTTCTCTGGGCGCTCATCACTTTGTTTCCCACAGCTGGTTTGGTTGCTCGCGACCGCCTCTCTCGACCGCCTCCTCGCAGGCGGAAGGCGCCTAGGGGCGGAGCAAGTTGGTGTTTAGTCCTCGCTTTTAGCGACGCTTAAAGCGACTGTGAGCGCAGCGTCCTCACGTGGCTCTGAGACCAAGCTTGTGTTTCCCCTCTGCGGCGACGCAAACCTCGGGGTGGGTCGGGCTTAAAGGAAGTCGAATTCTCAAACAGTTGAACACGTGGCAATGGTCGTGGTAGCAAGGGGCTTTCGCGATCAATATTATCCATAATCGAGGGGGCTTTGGTTCGACCGAGTCGATATAAATGCGTCGTTAAAGCCGCCGCCGCCGCCACCACCCGACACAGCCAATTAGTAAGTTTTGTCACGTAAACAAAACATACCAATTAGTTAAGAGTACAGCCACGCACTGGTTATGTGTTAGAGAGTAAACCCACTACGCCATTTACAATCGTAGTGTAGTATACAGTAGTTTATAGTGTAGTGTATAGTGTAGTGTGTAGTGTAGTGTATAGTGTAGTGTATACTAGTGTAGTGTATAGTGTAGTGTATAGTAGTGTAGTGTATAGTGTAGTGTATAGTAGTGTAGTGTATAGAGTAGTGTATAGTGGTGTAGTGTATAGTAGTGTAGTGTATAGTGTAGTGTATAGTAGTGTAGTGTATAGTAGTGTAGTGTATAGTGTAGTGTATAGTGTAGTGTATAGTAGTGTAGTGTATAGTGTAGTGTATAGTGTAGTGTATAGTGTAGTGTATAGTAGTGTAGTGTATAGTGTAGTGTATAGTGTAGTGTATAGTGGTGTAGTGCATAGTAGTGTAGTGTATAGTAGTGTAGTGTATTGTAGTGTATAGTACCGTGTATAGTAGTGTATAGTATAGTGTATCGTGCAGTGTATAGTAGTGTATAGTGTAGTGTATAGTGTAGTGTATAGTGTAGTGTACAGTGTAGTGTATAGTTTAGTGTTTAGTGTAGTGTATAGTAGTGTAGTGTATATTAGTGCAGTGTATAGTAGTGTAGTGTATAGTGTAGTGTATAGTAGTGTAGTGTATAGTAGTGTAGTGTATAGTAGTGTAATGTATAGTGTCGTGTATAGTAGTGTATAGTGTCGTGTATAGTAGTTTAGTGTATAGTAGTGTAGTGTATAGTAGTGTATAGTAGTGTAGTGTATAGTAGTGTATAGTGTAGTGTATAGTAGTGGTGTATAGTAGTGTATAGTGTAGTGTATAGTAGTGTAGTGTACAGTGTAGTGTATAGTAGTGTATAGTAGTGTAGTGTATAGTGTAGTGTACAAGTACAGCCACACATGGGTTGTGTGTTGGAGAGTGACCCCACTACGCCATTTACCATTCGAGTAGCCGTGACGTTTCGCCGGTAATTACGACGCATTTATATTTACTCGATCTAACCCAAAACAACCTCGATCATGGATAATTCTCGAATACTCTCAGCATTCTCCACTGCCTGGGAAGCATGCTCGGGTTAGCGGCCTCCCAGACACAACAGGGAGGTCTCACGGCACAAGGAAAACCCCACGGCAGCGGACGAGGGAGAGACCTGCAGGTCAATGCACCGCCTTGAGTGACTGCAGCCCCATCATGTAACCGACGAAGCCAGGATCTGTGATGTCCCCAGGTAGACTTAGCGATGTCCCAGGTGAGCTGCCTCGACAAGAGGACGATCCTGAAACAAGGAGGGCAGTTGGCAGCCACATGCAGGTAGCATCGCAATAGCGGTAGGCCTGGCGGGGCACTATCCTGTAGAGTTACAGTGCTAGATTATCGCAGTAGCAAAAGCAGCAAATGCTCCGGGCCCCGCACTTCCAAGGGCCCAGAGCTAAACGCTTTCAAGCTATTAATTCCGGTTGAGTGATTCTGCACTTGCTCTGTTACTATAGTACTATACCGCCTTCAACTTTTATGGACGACCGGGTGTTTAAGGTTAGCGATTTGTCATTAACTGGCCGTATAGCAGATATAAAAGGATATAATATCTTTACTGTGCAAGTAATGTGTTTTTAATGTGTTATAACATCGTGTGCTACAGGCCCCGCACTAGCTTCGTGCGGCACTGGTTACAGATGTGTAGTAGACAAACACTGACAATGTCATTCTGCTTCTTGTTGTTGTAGCGGCTCAAGTCAATTCCACCGAGCCCCTTCAACCGAACGCAAACAACAGCCACGTGCCGGACGACGCTCACGGCCGCGGCGTCGTTGACGCTGCAGTCGCCGTAGCGTCCATGATCGCCCTTAGCGAGAGCAGCGGGTGGAGCGCTGGGGCCGTGGCCGGGGTGGTCATTGGAACGATTGCGGTCGTCGTGGGAGTCGTCGTGGGCGTGATTCAATTAATCTGTAAAAATAGGCGAGTCCAGAGCGGGCGTCTCGATTGATGGGGACCGTCTGTGGGCCATGCGTCAAGTGAGCACGACCGTGATGGGATGGGTGGTGCCAATTAGTAAGGTTTATATTTACGCAATCTAAACCGACAGCCTTTATTGTGACTAATATTGGTCGTGGACGGGGAGTCAAACAGCAACAACAATAACAGCATCAACATCAGCAAGAGCAGCAACAACAATAACAGCATCAACAATAACAGCATCAACATCAGCAACAACAATAACAGCATCAACAACAGCATCAACATCAGCAAGAGTAGCAACAACAATAACAGCATCAACAATAACAGCATCAGCATCAGCAAGTGCAGCAACAACAATAACAGCAACAACAATAATAACAGCATCAACATCAGCAAGAGCAGCAACAACAGCAGCCGATGCACCACCAGCTACAGTGAGGGAAAAAAGTATTTGATCCCCTGCTGATTTTGTACGTTTGCCCACTGACAAAGAAATGTTCAGTCTATAATTTTAATGGTATGTTTATTTGAACAGTGAGAGACAGAATAACAACACCAAAATCCAGAAAAACGCATGTCAAAAATGTTATAAATTGATTTGTATTTTAATGAGGGAAATAAGTATTTGACCCCTCTGCAAAACATTACTTAGTACTTGGTGGCAAAGTCCTTGTTGGCAATCACAGAGGTCAGACGTTTCTTGTAGTTGGCCACCAGGTTTGCACACATCTCAGGAGGGATTTTGTCCCACTCCTCTTTGCAGATCTTCTCCAAATAATTAAGGTTTCGAGGCTGACGTTTGGCAACTCGAACCTTCAGCTCCCTCCACAGATTTTCTATGGGATTAAGGTCTGGAGACTGGCTAGGCCATTCCAGGACCTTAATGTGCTTCTTCTTGAGCCACTCCTTTGTTGCCTTGGCCGTGTGTTTTGGGTCATTGTCATGCTGGAATACCCATCCACGACCCATTTTCAATGCTCTGGCTGAGGGAAGGAGGTTCTCACCCAAGATTTGACGGTACATGGCCCCGTCCATCATCTCTTTGATGCAGCGAAGTCGTCTTGTCCCCTTAGCAGAAAAACACCCCCAAAGCATGTTTCCACCTCCATGTTTGACGGAGGAGATGGTGTTCTTGGGGTCACAGGCAGCATTCCTCCTCCTACAAACACGGCTAGTTGAGTTGATGCCAAAGAGCTCCATTTTGGTCTCATCTGACCACAACATTTTCACCCAGTTGTCAAGTTTCAAGTTTCATTTATTAGGTATAGCCCTGTGAGCCATGCGGCTCTTAAGTCGGGTGCAACCGCAACAAACAAAATTTGTCCTCTGAATCATTCAGATGTTAATTGGCAACCTTCAGACGGGCATGTATATGTGCTTTCCTGAGCAGGGGGACCTTGCGGGCGCTGCAGGATTTCAGTCCTTCACGGCGTAGTGTGTTACCAATTGTTTTATTGGTGACTATGGTCCCAGCTGCATTGAGATCATTGACAAGATCCTCCCGTGTAATTCTGGGCTGATTCCTCACCGTTCTCATGATCATTGCAACTCCACGAGGTGAGATCTTGCATGGAGCCCCAGGCCGACAAAGATTGACAGTTCTTTTGTGTTTCTTCCATTTGCAAATAATCGCACCAACTGTTGTCACCTTCTCACCAAGCTGCTTGGCAATGGTTTTGTAGCCCATTCCAGCCTTGTGTAGGTCTACAATCTTGTCCCTGACATCCCTGGAGAGCTCTTTGGTCTTGGCCATGGTGGAGAGTTTGGAATCTGATTGATTGATTGCTTCTGTGGACAGGTGCCTTTTATACAGGTAACAAGCTGAGATTAGGAGCACTCCCTGTGTGCTGTGTGCTCCTAATCTCAGCTCGTTACCTGTATAAAAGACACCTGGGAGCCAGAAATCTTTCTGATTGAGAGGGGGTCAAATACTTATTTCCCTCATTAAAATTCAAATCATTTTATAACATTTTTGACATGCGTTTTTGTGGATTTTTGTTGTTATTCTGTCTCTCACTGTTCAAATAAACCTACCATTAAAATTATAGACTGATCATTTCTTTGTCAGTGGGCAAACGTACAAATCAGCAGGGGATCAAATACTTTTTTCCCTCACTGTACTCGATGATCACGATCATGGTGGTGACACGTGGACTTGAAGTGCCCGATACTGGGGCACTTCCCCCCGCTCTGGACACAGCCCGACGATAGAGGTCACGACCCCTGGGCAGTGCCTCTTCTCCAGCCCGTGTCACTTACCCATCACTCTATCTCTTCTCTAGCCCGTGTCACTCATCCACTCACCCATCACTCCATCTCTTCTCTAGCCCGTGTCACTCACCCATCACTCCATCTCTTCTCTAGCCCGTGTCACTCACCCATCACTCCATCTCTTCTCTAGCCCGTGTCACTCATCCACTCACCCATCACTCCATCTCTTCTCTAGCCCGTGTCACTCACCCATCACTCCATCTCTTCTCTAGCCCGTGTCACTCACCCATCACTCCATCTCTTCTCTAGCCCGTGTCACTCACCCACTCACCCACCACTCCATCTCTTCTCTAACCCGTGTCACTCACCCACTCACCCACCACTCCATCTCTTCTCTAGCCCGTGTCACTCACCCACTCACCCACCACTCCATCTCTTCTCTAACCCGTGTGACTCACCCACCACTCCATCTCTTCTCTAGCCTGCGTCACTCACCCACTCAACCATCACTCCATCTCTTCTCTAGCCCGTGTCACTCACCCACCACTCCATCTCTTCTCTAGCCCGTGTCACTCAACCACTCACCCATCACACCATCTCTTCTCTAGCCCGTGTCACTCACCCACTCACCCACCACTCCATCTCTTCTCTAGCCCGTGACTCACCCACTCACCCATCACTCCGTCTCTTCTCTAGCCCGTGCCACTCACTCACTCACCCACTCACCCATTACTCCGTCTCTTCTCTCGCCCGTGTCACTCACCCACTCACCCACCACTCGATCTCTTCTCTAGCCCGTGTAACTCACCCACTCACCCATCACTCCATATCTTCTCTAGCCCGTGTCACTCACCCACTCACCCATCACTCCATCTCTTCTCTAACCCGTGTCACTCACCCACTCACCCATCACTCCATATCTTCTCTAGCCCGGGTCACTCACCCACTCACTCACACATCACTCCATCTCTTCCCTAGCTCATGTCACCAACCCACTCATCCACTCAACCACCCACCCACCCACTCACTCACACATCACTCCATCTCTTCTCTAGCCCGTGTCACTCACCCATTCACCCATCACTCCATCTCTTCTCTAGCCCGTGTCACTCACCCACTCACCCATCACTCCATCTCTTCTCTAGCCCGTGTCACTCACCCACTCACCCATCACTCCATCTCTTCTCTAGCCCGTGTCACTCACCCATCACTCCATCTCTTCACTAGCCCGTGTCACTCACCCATCACTCCATCTCTTCACTAGCCCGTGTCACTCACCCATCACTCCATCTCTTCTCTAGCCCGTGTCACTCACCCATCATTCCATCTCTTCTCTAGCCCGTGTCACTCACCCGCTCACCCATCACTCCATCTCTTCTCTAGCCCGTGTCACTCACCCATCACTCCATCTCTTCTCTAGCCCGTTTCACTCACCCATCACTCCATCTCTTCTCTAGCCCGTGTCACTCACCCACTCACCCATCACTCCATCTCTTCTCTAGCCCGTGTCACTCACCCACTCACCCATCACTCCATCTCTTCCCCAGCCCGTGTCACTCACCCATCACTCCATCTCTTCTCTAACCCATGTCACTCACCCATCAGTCCATCTCTTCTCTAGCCCGTGTCACTCACCCACTCACCCATCACTCCATCTCTTCTCTAGCCCGTGTCACTCACCCACTCACCCATCACTCCATCTCTTCTCTAGCCCGTGTCACTCACCCATCACTCCATCTCTTCTCTAGCCCGTGTCACTCACCCACTCACCCATCACTCCATCTCTTCTCTAGCCCGTGTCACTCACCCACTCACCCATCACTCCATCTCTTCTCCAGCCCGTGTCACTCACCCATCACTCCATCTCTTCTCTAGCCCGTGTCACTCACCCACTCACCCATCACTCCATCTCTTCTCTAGCCCGTGTCACTCACCCACTCACCCATCACTCCATCTCTTCTCCAGCCCGTGTCACTTACCCATCACTCCATCTCTTCTCTAGCCCGTGTCACTCATCCACTCACCCATCACTCCATCTCTTCTCTAGCCCGTGTCACTCACCCATCACTCCATCTCTTCGCTAGCTCGTGTCACTCACCCATCACTCCATCTCTTCTCTAGCCCGTGTCACTCACCCACTTACCCATCACTCCATCTCTTCTCTAGCCCGTGTCACTCATCCACTCACCCATCACTCCATCTCTTCTCTAGCCCGTGTCACTCACCCATTCACCCATCACTCCATCTCTTCTCTAGCCCGTGTCACTCACCCATCACTCCATCTCTTCTCTAGCCCGTGTCACTCACCCACTCACCCATCACTCCATCTCTTCTCTAACCCGTGTCACTCACCCACTCACCCATCACTCCATTTCTTCTCTAGCCCGTGTCACTCACCCACTCACCCATCACTTCATTTCTTCTCTAGCCCGTGTCACTCACCCATCACTCCATCTCTTCTCTAGCCCGTGTCACTCACCCACTAACCCATCACTCCATCTCTTCTCTAACCCGTGTCACTCACCCACTCACCCATCACTCCATTTCTTCTCTAGCCCGTGTCACTCAACCACTCACCCACCACTCCATCTCTTCTCTAGCCCGTGTCACTCACCCACTCACCCACTCACC